ACTTACAAATTACCACACAGATATTATAAATGCTCTGCCAATAGCTCAGGCTTTATTACTAACTAGAGCTTACATTTTAAGTTAACCGTATTTCTTATTTACGTTTCTGCCACGTGGTGGTACCTTTATTAGCATGACACATTCATCTCCTGCTCCCTCTGCATCTGATCTAGGACACCTCTGACTCTGCCCTCCTTCATTCCATCATTCTGTTTGGCTTTCCTACCTAACTTTATCCTTTTCAGCTATTGGCCAGTCAGCTTGTTTATTAACCAGTCACAGTGACATATATCCATACAGTGTAAAGGAATATTCCATAGCACCTGGGAGTATAGTTTAGTGGGAGAGCATTTGTCTAGTAAGGGTAAAGCCCTATATTTGAACCTAGCACCACAGATGGGCAAAAAAAGTCAACAGTTATCCTCATGGGAAGCCAAGTGGTACCACACATCTTTAATCCAGCACTCAGGAGGCACGCAAATACCTGAGTTTCAGGGTCAGCCTGATCTACATAGTTCCACACCAACCAGGGCTACACTGGAAAGAAGGAAAGCAGGGCATGGTGGCGCACGCCTTTGATCCCAGCACTCAGGAGCCAGAGGCAGGTAGATCTCTGAGTTCCAGGACAGCCAAAGATACACAGAGAAACCATGTCTTGAAAACCCAATAAAAAGAAAAGGTACACAGGGGCTTAGTTTGATGGCTCATGCCTCTGATCCTAGTACTAGGAGCAGGAGTTCAAGGTCATCCTCAGCTACACAGCTACTTCAAGACCAGTTTGACTTATATGAAATAGTGTCTCAAAATAACAAATAAATGGTACGTGGTAAAATTTGTCAGCTAGAGACTGATTTTTGGTTTTGTTTTTTTGTTTTGTTTTTCATGTTGGGTGTTACACTTAGAGCATTGTATTTCCCTAGATAGTCTCTTCTACCCAGCTATAACCCATCCCTGAATTTTGGTTTTCCTCTTTCTTCTGGTGTTAGGAATTGAACCTGGGGCCTTCCATCTGCTAGTCAAGTGTTATAGCACTAAACCACCTCCCCAGCCATGAATCATTTTCTTAATAAAATTCAGAACAATAGTAATCTGCTCTGGCACTCATGTAAAGGGCCCAGGAACTTGGCAGACTGAGGCAGAAGAATCATGAGTTCAAGACCGGCCTGGGCTACAAAACCTGCCAGATGAATGAAGTCATAAGGTTGTCATTAGAAAGAACAAAACCCAACAAAAGCAATTTTATTACAAGGGGGGAGTATAATTTAATCTTTTTTCTTTTTTCTTTTTTTCTTTTTCTTTTTTTTTTTTTTAGTGTTGATCCAAAAATTAAACTGACTCTTATTCACTGGAGTTGTGTTTTCTCGAGTCTTTGGTTAAGAAAGCTGCAGTGTTCAGAGTTTCCACAAGCTGTTTATATCCATGAGTCATACCTTCCTCTGAATTTGAACCATAGGTCTGAAGGTATGAGACAAGGAAGTTGAGGTTCAAAAGTGTTATGTGTACCAGGATTCACAGCTAATAAAAGCAGAGGGATTTGACAGCTGTAATAGCCATATCCCCGGCCTTGCTGGCCTCAGCTGCAGTTCTCTGAATCCCTCCGCCTCTGCTGCCACCCCACTGCCTACCTCAAACCGCTCAGAAGAGACCTCAGCTCACAGTACTGGGGACAAGCAGGGGTCACATCCTGCCTTTTACCTAATACATCATCAAGACTTAACCCAGCCAGATTCCACACAGTCTGCCAAGGCACCTTGGCCTATTTTTATCACCTGGGCAGAATTCCTGCCCTACTCACGTGACCCACAGACAGCCATCCCAGTCTGCTACCTCAGGAGAGCAAGGGCACATCAACTGTTTCATTGACCCTCACCATCTACCCTCAAAAAGGACAAAGGCACCAGGATGTTTCTCAGCACGAAGCAATGAACTTTAGGTCTGTTTGAGCCATGGGGGTCATAAAAAACACTCTGCCTACAGTAAAAGTGCATTCAGAGTTGGCTAGCAAACTTCTACCACTGCCTGGCCTGGGAGGTGACAGGGAAGAGACAGGGCCCCACCCTCAGGTCAGACTCAACAGTTGCATCACATGTGTCATCCTTTGTGTTGTATTAAGACAGCAGGCCCCTTTTCTCAATGTTTGCCTGTAATCCCAACTTAGGGCTGGATGTGAACTCAGTCGTGTAAACACATGCAGAAGTCAGTCCAGACGTTTAACACTTGAAGTGGAAGCTGCAGTTGAACTTACAGGGTACCAAGCATTAGCTCAATCCTCTGATCCCGTCAGACTTGGTGGGTTATTCCTGTAACTCCAGCACTCAGGAGGCAGAAACAGGAGGATTGTTGCAAGTTTAAGGCCAGCTTGAGCTATAGAGTGATACCCTGTCTTTGAACAAACAATAATCCTCTGAGAAAGGTGTTGTAATGTCCAGATACAAAGAGTTGCAAGGAGCAGCTAAGTAACTTCCTCAGAGTCACACCTCTGAGAAGTGGCAGATGTAGGGCTTGAACCTAGGAAACGTGTCTCAAGTCTGGTATTCTGATTAAGATGCAGAACGTCAAGTTCCTTAGAGACTAGTCTGGGTGAGTGCGGCAGCTCCTCGAGCTGCTGTCTGCCTCCTCCTGTCTGCACTACACTGCACTGCGGCCTCACCCTCCCCAAGAGATTCTGCAAACTGAGCTTCCAGCCGCGGCCATCCGGGCTGCTTCTGCCTTCCGTCTCTTCAGAGCTCTTCCCTGAATGCCCACTCCAGATTCCAGCCCTGCACCTGCCGCCCCCTCCCTGCCTATTCATCATCAGTCACATCACAGCCTCAGGCTGCAGTGGGGAAACTGAGGCCCATAGATAGTTCTTAAATTCATATTCTCCAAGCCACCAGAGTTAAAAAAAAAAAAACAACTCTCTCATCCCTGCCTTATCCATTGTGACCTAAATGTTTCCAGGGTTGTCTTGCTTTACTTCTTAGTTGGGAAATCATTATGGGATGTCTTGTATGACCTTTTTCACAGTTCTTACACATCCCTACTACAGGCCAGCACTGAGCTGAGCATCTTTCCTGACTTATTTTCTCTTCACACACACCTCTTTGAGATAGTCCATATGCTTATCCTCACACACAGGTAAGGAGACCAAAGCCTGGGGAGGCTGCCACTAGTGTGGTCCCACAGGACTGTAGGAACTAGTAACCACTCCGCAATACTGCCATACCCATGACCAATAGGCCTTGGTGTGCTAATCTTGCTCTAAAGTAGTCTGGGAAAGAACATCTCTGTTCCCTGTGTGGCCAGGAGGTGGAGCATTCTGGGTAACAATTCTTTTAAAGCTAGGCTGGCCCTAAGCAACAAAGACCATATAGTAGGCTTGAAAATGGGAATAGTCCCACCCTGGGGACTATGGCTCATCTGGCTGGTGGATTTCAGCTACATTTGTGAAAGCCCAGTTCTTGGTCAAATTAGTAGAATGAATCTTAGTAAGGGTCTGGTATAGAAGGCACATGGGCCAGACTTCAGAATTCTGACTCTTCCCTCAAATGTTTCATACCAAATCTGCCTGTGTCCACTTTGCCAATAAGAAAAACAGGTCACTAAGAGTTTAGAAACCTCAGTTTGAATCTCAACTCAGACCCCAGCTCCCTGTGTGACCCTGGTCAAGTCATCCTCTAATGGACTCCAAATCTATAGAGTGGGAATAATAACATGTATGTACCAGGACACTTATAAAAGGTGCCTCGGGTAACAGCCATAAGTGGAAACCAGTTGGACTGTTAGGAGCTGTGCTTGCCCATGGGGGCTGTTTGCCGACCTGCTTTGTGTTTTCTTTCCAGCCCCTTCATGAATAAGTTTTTTCCAGCCAACTTCCCAAATCGCCAGTATCAGCTGCTCTTCACACAGGGCTCTGGGGAAAACAAGGAAGGTCAGTGGTACCCACTTCCCGTTCTCCCTTCTTTCTCTAGTATCGGGTTCTCAAAGAAACAAGTAATAAAAAGGAGAAACTCAAATCTAACAGCCCTGGTTCATATCCCAGCTTTGCCACTACCCAGACTTGGGAATCTGGGTGACTCCATTATTTCTGTGCACTGGGTGTTTTTGAAGGAAGTTTGTTTCATCGTCTGTAAAACAAAAATGATAATCTAGCCTCTTCCGTTAGGAAGTAAATTGTAAGTGGACAGCATTCAGCACGGTGCCTGGCTCATATATATGCACTCAGTAAAAGCTGTACCAGACAGCTAGCTCTTAGCATGTCTGTTTAGTGATTTTCTCCTAAGCTTTGAAAAGTAAAGTTATGCAGATGTGTTAGTTAGCGTATGGGTTCATATGTGGTGACAAGAGTAATGATGGCTTGGGACCAAATGGAAGATAATTCTCACACATAAGAAGCACATTCTGCCTTTTCCCCCAAAACGGTGATGTGATGGTTCGTCTCTGCATCAAGTACATCTGTGCCAAATAAATGATTATTGGATTTTTTTAAGGCTAACCCTGTTTTTTTTTTTAACGACCATAGAGCCTTCAGGGTTCCAAATCCCCATCAACGCCAAGTTACATAATGACCTCGTGGTCTAGGATGGCGACCACTGCGCAGCCGTAGCGATTACAGGAGAATCCTATTGGCTGGTAGCTCGGAGCTGGGCAATATTCCCGCTACAGGCAGCGTGGCTAGACTTGGCGCATGTCCAGTCCAAACCCCAAGCGGCTGTCCATCTGTATGTGTGGATACTCTGACGCATCTTCCGGTCCGAACCCCGCCCTTTCTGCCATCGGAAGTCGGGAGAAGAGCCGGAAGTCAGGAGAAGAGCCGTAGGGTGACCACGTGGGGGTCAGAGCAAACGTGGGGTCAGTGGAGTGGAAGTAATCGGATCTTACGCAGCCGTAAAGCGCCTTCTGTCGGACCACCTTCCGGTTAGCGACAAGGGCCGCTCAGACGCTGGTGCCATCCTTCCTGTAGACCGCGACTCAGGTTGGACCTTCGGCGATCCACGTTTCGCCTCAGCTCTTCCGTGTCGGCGCCCCTTCACCAAGATCATGTTCAAGAAATTTGATGAGAAGGAGAGTGTGTCCAACTGCATTCAGCTGAAAACTTCCGTTATTAAGGGTATTAAGAGCCAACTGACTGAACAGTTTCCAGGTATCGAGCCGTGGCTTAATCAAATCATGCCTAAGAAAGATCCAGTCAAAATAGTGCGATGCCATGAACACATGGAGATCCTTACAGTCAACGGAGAATTACTGTTTTTCAGGCAGAGAAAAGGACCTTTTTATCCAACGCTAAGATTACTTCACAAGTACCCGTTTATCTTGCCACACCAGCAGGTCGACAAAGGAGCCATCAAATTTGTGCTCAGTGGTGCAAATATCATGTGTCCAGGTTTAACGTCTCCTGGAGCGAAGCTCTACGCTGCTGCGGTAGATACCATCGTGGCGGTCATGGCCGAAGGGAAAGAGCATGCCCTGTGTGTCGGAGTCATGAAGATGGCTGCCGCAGACATTGAGAAAATCAACAAGGGGATCGGCATTGAAAATATCCATTACCTAAATGACGGGCTGTGGCACATGAAGACTTATAAGTGAGCCTTAGATGCAGTGCACTTGAGCTGAATATAAATGTTGTGTTGCATCTGTGTTTGTGTCTGTGTGTGGCATCATGAAGGCAATGCCTCTGTAGTCATGCTGAATAAATTCAACAGATACCTTTAAAAACTGAAAACGGGGTGTTATAACCATAGGAGAGAGCAGGAATTGGGGGACAAACAGCAATTTGCTGCACTTTGGAATCACAGAGGTGACCACACTCTGTTATTCAGAAATTCAAAAGCAGCCAGGGTAGGTCTGACATCAGGGTCTCTGCCAAGGTGCTCTTACTGAGCAGCCTCCAAGATTCCCTCCCGACTACTTTCTACATCTCTCTCTCCTTCTTCCTCTGATTAGGAAGGGTTATCAGCAATTCCTTGATTTCCTGAACTTTCAAACTTGGTAGGAGTGGCATTCATCAGGAACCCACTGTGGTCCGTTCCAGGCACTGTGCTGAGGGCATTATAAGAACAGCCTTATGTACCCTTCACAGCAGCTCCCTGAGAAAGGTGCTGTTGACTGTTTTACAGAGAGCGAAACAAACTCTTCAGAGGGCACTGCCTCCCCCAGGGTCACCCAGCTTCAGGTGGCAGAGCTTCTACCCAACACCCTGCATTGTACCTGGCCCCATGTTCCCCTCTAGGAAAGTGGGCATGGCTCCAGTGCCCTTCCCCAGCTAACCCCTGCCAGTCTGAGGCCGCTAAGGCCAGGCTCCCGGGCCTGCCTGACCATGCAGGCAGCCATGCCCTCCTCCATCCAGGGGCTGACAGGTTGGGGGGATGGCCTCACTCTGGGGAGTGGACTTACCTGGCCTCTCTGCCCAGAGATCATCAACTATGAGTTTGACACTAAGGACCTGGTGTGCCTGGGCCTAAGCAGCATCGTTGGTGTCTGGTACCTGCTGAGGAAGGTGAGTAGTCAGGGCCTGAGCAGAAGGGGAGGTTGGGGAGACGGTAAGATGGGCCACGGCCAGCTGGTCTCACTCCCGCCTTTCCCCAGCACTGGATTGCCAACAACCTGTTTGGCCTGGCCTTCTCCCTTAATGGGGTAGAGCTCCTGCACCTGAACAACGTGAGCACTGGCTGCATCCTGCTTGGCGGACTCTTCATCTATGACATCTTCTGGGTGAGTCAGGCAGGGACGTGCTGTCCAGCTCTCGGGGCCTCCTCCGCCTTCCAGCTTCTCTGCGTCTCTGTCCACATGGCAGTCTGATGGAGTTTGCACCCCAGAGCAGGTCTATTTCTTGTCTATCTGCAAATCCAAAGGAAAAGGATGGTATCTACCAAGAACCCGGCGTACCCAGTGCCTTCATATACCCTCAGATGGTCTTTACAGGGGTACTTCTAAATCCCGTGTCTCTAGAGCAAATGAGTTGAGACTCGGGGACATTTGGATAGGAGTGGTGGATGCTGGTAAATGGCCCAGCAAGGACAGACATTAGCTGTGCCCTGGCTGCGTCTTCGCTTTCTGAGGGGTCTGGGGTTTGCCTTCGTTTTCACTGTGCTAAGGGCTCTGGAATCTGCCTGACTGTAGTGCTCATTCCTTAGCTCTGGAAGACCTTTTGTCTTTGAATGAATGCTGCCTAGGGTCTTTGTCTCTTTAAGAGGGATAGAACCTGAAAAAGCAAGCTGCCTGGCGTGGGCCAGTTAGGGTCTTTCTCCGACCCCTTCAGATTTTCTTTTACCCAGAACCACATGAATGGCCTCCTCAACTCGATGTCAGGACTGCTCTGAGCTCTCCCTGTTCAACTATACACCCCAAACCACACCGCACCTAGAAGCCCAGGGACAGCCTTTCTTACCCACCCACCTCCCTTTAGACTCCTGTCTTCTCCTTCCAGGTATTCGGCACCAACGTCATGGTGACTGTGGCCAAGTCTTTTGAGGCACCAATCAAATGTAAGTGACCGCCTCCCACAATCAGGCATCCTCTCTACCCCAGCTGGCCCATCATCCCTGTTGGTGTCAGAACCTCTTTTTATTTCCTCTTCATTGACTCATCTGGCTGTGTTCTTGAGCTCAGTCATCGTCCCTGTCCCCATCCCCGTCTGTTCCCCCGTCCCCCTGCCTTTGGCAGCTTGGTCATGACATCATATGGCATGAAATGTATAAGAATGGGAATAAGCATAGAAAAGAGGTGTTTAACAGCCAATCATAGGACTTGCAGTGGTTTTACCAGAAGTAGAGACTTCACACTTACTGTATCACACTCACTGGGTTCCCCTTGTTGGCTGAGAACCAGGTGCTCTCTTGCCTGCTGACTCTGACCATACATTGGTTTTGTTTTTTAGAATAACCATTGTTTATACAAGTATTAGGAAACCCAGCTGTGGGCTTGGGGGTGTAGTAGCTCAGTGGTAGAATGCTTGTCTAGCATGTGTGAGCCCTGGGGTTCACCTCTAAAAGAAGGGAAAAGAAGATCCATAGCACAGGCATGGGGCACATTGCTGTTGCCCCAATACTTGAGGGGCAGGAGGATTGCAGCTTTTAGGTTACATAGCAAGACTGTCAAAAAAAAAAAAAAAAACCAGGCTGGAGAGATGGCTCAGAGGTTAAGAGTTCAATTCCCAAGCAACCACATGGTGGCTCACAGCCATCTACAATTGCCATCTACAATTCAATCTGGTGCCCTCTTCTGGCGAGTAGGCAGAACAGTGCTTATGTAATAAATAAATAAATCTTAAAAAAAAACAGGGTGGCTCAGCTGGCCTATTTCTTGCTGCCAATGCCAAACCTGACAACCTGAGTTCAATACCTGAGACTCACATGCTGGAAGGGGAGAACTAATTCCCACAAGTTGTCCTCTGACCTATACACAGACATTCACACATATACAAAAATAAATAAATGTAAATCTTTTGAAAATGAAAAATCCAAGCTGTTTGGTGGTAGCACACACCTTTAATCCCAGCACATGGGAGGCAGAGGCAGAGGCAGGTGGATCTCTGAGTTTGAGGCCAGCCTGCACTACTGATCAAGTTCCAGGACAGCCAGGGCTGCACAGAGAAACCCTGTCTCAAAAAAAAAAAAAAAAAAAAAAAACAAACCACAAAACAAGCGTCAAGTACCAATGTTGTTAAATAAGAAGAGCCTCTGGGTGTTTGTTGAGATGGATTTCAGGTAGCTGAAGCTGTCCTGAAACTCACTGTGGCTAACGGTGGCTTTGAACCTTTTGTGCTGTCACCTCCAGAGTGCAGGGGTCACTGGGCCTGTAAAACAAGGGGAATTTTTATCTCAAGCTACTGTAAGCCTGGGTAGAACAGCTCAAGGATGTTAATGCCCTTCAGTGGAATCACCAAAACCAAAGTTACTTCCCCTCCACCCCATCGCTCTCGGCGTGTTTGTTACCTGTTCCTTAACTCACCTCTCTGTAGGCCCCAGAGGGGAACGAGATTCTAGCATTGACTCCTCACCCAGACATGGCACAGTGGGGACTGATTTTTCTCTTTCCTCAGGAAGAGTGTTTTTGGTTTGACACCCCCCCCCCAAAAAAAACCAACAACCATGGGGAATCTCCTTTCATGGTTCATCGGCCAAGTCATATGTTATGGAGCTGCAGGCATAGCCAATAGTAAAGAGCTTTTCTACCATGCATGAGGACCTAGGTTCTTTGGCTGACCTTCATACCACCTGAGTGTTGATCCTGGTACTTGACGGGAATGAAAAATCAAGACCAGCCTGGGCTATATAGCTGGAGTGTCTCAAAACCAGTTAAAGCAAACAAGTACCCATCCCAAGGTAGATGGGAAAGCAGATTAACTTCGAGTCTCAGCCCTGGATGATCCCAAAACACTTGGAACCACAAGACTCCAGGACTGTACCAGACATGGTAGCTGGGCAGAGGGGGAGGTGACCTTGAGGATACTCGGTGACCTGTAGAATCATAACGGTGCTGACTTGTGGCAGCAAGCAGTTGGGAGTGAAGCTTCTTTCTCGTGGTTCTATGGCAACCCAGAAGGAGAAATGAAGATGAATGAAGCCTTTGGTTAGATGATCCTAGATCCCTACATGCTGTAAGAGCTGCCATTTCGTCCTGGGGACATCCTGTCATCTCCTGTATACTCAAAACACAAGTGTGTGTGAGTCATACTCGACGGGGCTGGAGTACTCAGGGCCCTCTGAGCTCCCTCTCACCCCTGCCTCTCCCTGCAGTGGTGTTCCCCCAGGATCTGCTGGAGAAGGGCCTTGAAGCGGACAACTTTGCCATGCTGGGACTTGGAGATATCGTCATTCCAGGTGATTGCTGGTGTTTTACTATGCGGTGGGTAGGTAGCCTTACCTGTTGGGAATGGGAACATCAGGTGAGGACTTGGCAGATTTCCCCTCAGTACATGTTTGTGGTTTTGGTGGCATAGGGCAGTTTCCCTTAATTTTGAACTTAAACCAAGAAAGAGGAACCTACATGCCATCAGCGTCAAGTAAACATGTTCAGAATGGCCTTGAACCTGTCTTCTAACCAACCTGGACTGCTCAGCCAGAAGGGGGAGCCCTGCTGATGGGAGAAAAAGCCTGCCTGGCCTTTCCCTCTCTTTAGGAGGGTGAAGAAGCTGCAAGTTTGCGTCATCGTCTGTCTGTGGCTCCTCTCCCTGTCTGCCTGTCAGGGGATTTGTCTAGCTCCTACTTCCAACCCTCTGGCAATGGGCAGAGACACACCATTGGTGATGGTGGTCAGGGACAGAGTTGATTGTGTTCTCTAGTTTGCTGTTCTTTAGCTTGATGCCTGGCTTGGTGGCCAGAATATTTTTAAAGAAAATATCAAATCCCACCCCCAAGACAAATGCCTATAGCAGTGGTTCTCAGCCTTCCTAATACTGCAATCCTAATACAGTTCCTCATGTGTGGTGACCCCCAGACATTATTTTCATTGCTACTTCATAACTAATTTTGCTAATGCTATGGATCAGTGTTTTCCAGAGGCCTTAGGCAACCCCTGTGAAAAGGTCTTTCAACACCAAAGGGATCGCAGCCCACAAGTTGAGAATTGTTGCCTTCCAGAGAACCAGTGTCTAGCTCCATCAGTCTCCTTGGTGCATGGTTCTGGGCTTTAGGAGCATACACATCCTCGCCATATCATATATGGCTCCAAATCTTCCAGCAGTCACCCAGCCCAGAAAGCATCCTGTTGAAACTTCCTCAGCTGCCAGGAGTTAGTACACTAGCAGAGCCCCACCCTGTTTTATTGGAGAGCTATTACAAGTGTCAGTCACCAGGGGGCGCTGAGCTCCAGACACTGTAGAAAAGGCAGCTTTTTCCATCCAATCTTCTCTCACAGTCCTCACTGGTATGACTCAGTTAACCTCTTTAAAATTAGCAGCGTAGGGTGGGAAGTGTAACTCTTGGTAGAGCCCTTGCCTACCATGCACAGTTGTGGGCCTGGGTTAAAGGATGTGGCGTGTGCAGCATACAGGGGCTGAACATGCTGGCTCTGTCTGAGACTTGGTGTTCTGGGGCATCTGAAGTGTGGGCCAGGTCCTAAGGGACAGAGTTAGCATCCCAGAGGTCTGCTTAGCCAACCCTCCACCTTCAACCAGGCAGCAGCCACAGGGGTGTCTAGATTGTTCTCCTGACCACAGCTTTTCCAGCATGCTGTGTTCCTTACTCAGAATACAGGCCCAAGCCTGCAGTGCCATGGTCTGTGCCGTGTCACCCTCCTGCACCCCTCAGAATGCCCTTCACTCTCCCTGGCCAGTGACACTTTGAAGAAACCCTCTTCGGGCTAGATCCCATCCCAGTCACCTTTTATGACACAAGAAGTCCATCTTTCAGTTAGAACAAGCCTAAATGTGGTTTCTGCTAGGGTCTGTTACAAGGGGAGTCGTTCTCCCTACTGTCTTGCCCTTGGCTGAGCTCTGAGAACTGTATCTTCACTTGATCCTACCCTGTGCCTGATCAATGGGAAACAGCTGGTGGCCTGTTGTGACATTGTGACACGGTGTGGTGCTGGAGGCAGGGGCTAGGCCAGCCTCCCTTGTCTCGCCATACTGCCCCCCCCCCCCCAGCCCTGGCCTTCTAACCGAGCCTTTTCCCCCCTCAGGGATCTTCATTGCCTTGCTGCTCCGTTTTGATATCAGGTAAGCAAGGGAGGGCATGGCCTGGCCCGGGGATCTCCCAGCATTCCCCAGTCTCCAGGAGCCCAGAGAAGGTATCTCCACCCACACATCCAGAGAAATTCTCATTTCACCTGCATTCTGAAGTTTTAAGTGGATTTTCACAGCCTACCCCCCCTTCCCAAGAGACACTGATGCTGGCTGAAAATCTTACAGGCAGTTCTAGGTTATACTTGTTGTTTACAAATGGGCTTATAGCTTTCCCATTTTGCAAAGGTATGAGCTGAGCATGGAAAAAGAAAGGTAACTTGCCTAAAGAGACTTAACTCAGGAAGTACAGTACATAGCCCTCCAGGCTCCCAGCTGAGAGCTCTCCCACACACACATGCAACTGCAGGGTTCCCCAGAAGGGTGTTACTGTTCTAACCCCTTCCTTCTGCCTTCCTTGAAGCTTGAAGAAGAACACCCACACCTACTTCTACACCAGCTTCGCTGCCTACGTCTTCGGCCTGGGCCTCACCATCTTCATCATGCACATCTTCAAGCATGCCCAGGTGAGCAGAACAGCCCTTGGTGTGTCCAGAGAGCATCCCTGACAGTAACAGACCTCGCAGAGCTGCTCTGTCACCTGCACAAGCAGCCCAGAGGTGGGCACCCTGCACTGCTAGCCAAACCATCTTGGTTTGTTTTTAACTTGTGGGAATGTGGCAGCTGCTGCTCCAGGCCAAAGGTTTGTTCAGTGCACCACTGTCTCCATTAGAAAAGCAGACAATTGCCAGAGTCCCATTAAGCCAGGTAGTGTGGCACATGGCCTTTCCAGCTGCAGGAGAAGAGGCCGGGGAAGAGAAGATGGCCTCCCAGGCAAGCTAGTGTGGTTAAACAAGAAGCAGGACTGAGAGTTAGGAGTTTAAGCCAAGTGACAGCTAGCTACACCCACCATAGGAAAGCCAAGGCTCTGCCGCCTCCTCCCTCAAAGGTGGGCTTCAGTTTCTAAGCCACCACAGTGAACTGTACCAGGATTTTTCTTTTGGGCCACCAACCAGCTCCCAAGTCATGACACAGAGACTTACTAGTTTTGAATGTTCAATCCAGCTTAGGCACATTTCTGGCTAGCCCTCTTTAAACCTGTTTCTCTCTCTCTCTCTCTCTCTCTCTCTCTCTCTCTCTCTCTCTCTCTCTCTCTCTCTCTCTCTCTCTCTCTCTCTCTTTTATTTTTATTTTTATTTTATGTACATTGGTATGAGGGTGTCGGATCCTCTGGAACTGGAGTTACAGACAGTTGTGAGCTGCCTGCCATGTGGGTACTGGGAGTTGAAAACGGGTCCTCCGGAAGGGCAGCCAGTGCCCTTAACCACTAAGCCATCTCTCCAGTCCCCAAACCTTTTGCCTTGGGGCTTTTTAACCTTTCTTTCTTCTATACATCTTTCACTGCTTCTGTCTGACTGGCTGGCGTCCACCTAACTTCCTGCTCTTGGCATGTCCCTAGTCCTCCTCTCCTTGTGAGCCTGGATTTCTCCACCTACTTATTCTCTCTGCCCACCAGCCCCGCCTATTCTTTCTCTGCCTAGCTATTGGCTTATTTAGTTCTTTATTAGACTAATCAGGTGCCTTAGGCCAGCAAGATAAAACAAATACAACACATCTTTACATAATTAAACACATCCTTACATTGTTAAACAAATGCAACCCACCTTCACACAGTTAAAGTAATATTCTGTAACAGTGAACGGCATGTGTAAGGCTCAGATCTCAAGGCCGGTAGGGACTGAGCAGGCAGGATTGCCTCCTGTCTTGTCTAAGGAACACAAAGCACATGCCCAGCCCTGTGCTCCTGAGAGCACATGAGGAAGCTGGAACTGAGGTGCCACCCAGCGAGTGAGTGGTACAGCTCGGATTTGGCCTGGGACGCTGCGGGAACAGTATGTGATGCAGAGGCCAAGGAAGCCCCAATGGGAATCTGGTAGAATCCTCTCTGGGACTCAGGCCAGGTCCCACAAATTACTCACATACTTAACATTTCCTCATTTCATTAATAAAGACAGAAAAGGGAGGCTTGGGAATGGGGCAAATCAATGTAAGTACTCAGAACTACACCTGGGAATTCCCGTCCCTGCACCGCACCCCCAAACTCCCTTTCCCCTCCCCCATTCCCAGGACAGCATTGCTCTTTGTGAGTTTAGTTATCCACAGCCCAAAAATATAGAAACTTCAGAAACTCCAGTTTTAGATGCCACGCATTCTGAATAGCAAGATTGACTCTTACTGCCCACACAAACCACTCCTTGATCCAGCATATTCCACTGCTCACCATTTAGAGGGGAAGTAAGCGTTCACTCACAGCATGCCATCCTGTACAGTTTTGAGGTGCTCTGCAGATGGGGGGACTACTGCATTGTTCCCCTTTCACTCCTCCCCTCCTCGATGCTCTGTCACGTGGGAGCTGCCTTGGAATTCATCCCAAGATCAGACTGTTGATCACTGTTCTGGTGCTAAACCTTCCAGAAAGATCCAAGGGTGTGGCTCCTAAGCAGAGAAACCCAGAGTGTTCACAGAGCCTGCTCATTTGTTCAGTTATGTTTGGCACAGCTTCTGATGTGCCTGTAGAGCATGACATGTGTTTGGTGAGAGGATTACAGAGTGCCAGATCCTGAACAAGCTTAGAGGCCTTTTCAAGGCCTGTGCCTTAGCTCCCAGCCCTATATTGGAGTAGACTGGAGTCATTCTCCTGGCAGCCACCAGGGGGCAGGCTTGCCTTCCCAACTGGAGGCAGAAGAGAGTCTTGCTTTCTCTGCAAGGTACTGTCCTCCCCATTGTGGGGAGGCTGCAGACCTAGAAAGGCAGACTCCCCAGGTAATCCAGCTAGCCAGCTGCGCCTGGGCCTATGCTACTCCTGGCCCTGATTCATCCAGATGGCCATCGCCCTGGAAGTCCCTGAAGAGAGGATCCAGTTCAAGGAAGAGCATGTTAAGTGAGGCTGCCTTCTCCAAGAATACAGGTAGTCCCCATGACAGCATTGCTCTAGGTAGACGTCCCCTGTGTGGCCTTTAGTGCACTTAGCCTTTTAAAAAACCTGCCCAGCCAGACCTGATGGAGGTGGAAAGCAGGAGGAACAGAAGTTCAAAACCTTCCTCAGCTACACAGCTATGCAGACAGCCTGGGTTGCGTGTATGAGACGCTGTCTCAAAGGAACGCACTGGGCTGGCGACACAGGAGGACCCTCGCTCCGCCCTCCGTCCTCAGATCCCCAGTTTGTTCGTCTGTTAACTTAGGATTAGTGTGTGGAAGAGGGTGGGCTTTGTACGTGTGGGAGTGGGTGCCTGCAGAAGCCAGCAAAGGGTGTCAGATCCCCTGGAACTGGAGCTAAAGCAGCTGATAGCCAACAGAACCGGACTTGGGTCTTCCACAAGAGCAGTTCTTCACCACTGAGCCATCCCACCACTGTCGCTGGAGTTTTCTGTCCGCCAGGTCCTGCTGTCACTCCACCCTCCACAAATTAAATTTTAACATTAAGTCTGAGCTTCCATTCCTGCTTCTCCTCACATTATGTTCTTACGTTTTGGTTGGTTGGGTTTGGTTGGCGGTTGTTTGAGGCAGGGTCTCACTGAATATCCCTGGCTGGCCTGGAACTCACTGTAGTCAGGGTAGCCTATAATTCATAGAGGTCACCTGCCTCTGCCTCCCAAATGCTGCGATTACAGGTGTGTGTCACCACACCCCGCCTGGTTTTGGCTGTATGTTTGGTCGGTGGTTGGTTTCTGTTTGTTTGTTTTGAGGCAAGTTCTCCTTGTGTAGCTTGGTTAGCCTCAAACTCCCAGTAGTTTCCTTGCCTTCGTCTCTATAGTGCTAGAATTACAAGTGCGCACCACAATGCCCAACTTTCTTTCTACTCCAGGGCATTTTATTCTTTTTCTAGCTGCCCCATTTGCCCCACACGGGGCAGTGCTAGGAATGAAATGCCAGCATTGCATAAGTGTTCAGTGAGCACGCTACCACTGATTTAGACCCCTGTCCATTTCATAGTCTTGTGACCAGGAAGCTGCTGTTGTTGTTGTGTTTTGTTTCGAAACTGGGTTTCTCTGTGTAACAGCTCTGGCTATTCTGGAATTCACTCTGTAGACCAGGCTGGCCTCGAACTCATAGAGTCTGTCTGCCTCTGCCTCCCGAGTGCTGAGATTAAAGGTGTGTGCCAGCACTACCTGGAGACCTGAAAGCTTTTAAACCATTCTCAGGGATCTTGTTTCCCTTGAGCTGGCATAGGGCTTAGGACTTAGAGTACCTCTGACTGCTTCTCACAACTTGGGGCAAGGACCTAAAAACCCACAGCAAGAACCCAATACCAGTGAAAGAATGAATACCCAGCTCCCCAAGGCCCATCTCAGCTTGGCCTCACACACCTTCTTGTGACCTTGGGCAAGTCAGTCTCCTGCTGAGCCTCAGGAGCATCATCTGTAGAACTTCAGTCTGGATACTATCACTAGATTCTAGGGAAATCTATATAAAGTAATACGGCTTACCACCCACCCAGACCAGTACCACGAAATGGTCTCCATGCTGGAGAAAGATCCTGTTGTTCTTGGGTCCCAGGCTGGTTTTCTACTGAGAATGGTGTCTTCATCCCATTCATCCCCAAGACCTGTCTTAGCGAACATGGCAAAGAAGCCAACAATAAACCTTGTCTCGTCCGTGTCCCATCCCCCCCCCCCCGCCCCCAGTTTTCTGGAATGCAAGGCATACAGACTGAACAGGGCAGCAGGCACTTGCTCTGTCCAAGCCCACAACAAGCAGGGGATAGGTACTCCATTCTGTCTAGGATGATCACTCCACACTGCCAGGGTGCCACATAAGTGGAGGCTTCTCCACAGAGCTGAGGACTGAGGAGGAGGAACTGGGCAGAGGGAGGAAGAACGTAGGCAGCTAAAACCTGCACGTGCCAAGTACTGGGGCCATGGCCAAAGTAAGGTAGGCAGGGTGAGGTTGGAGGAGATGATGACAAGAGGCGCATCTTGTGGGGCCACTAGGCCACTAGCAGCATTGGTGGCTTTAGAGTATCCAACAGCGGTGTGATGGTCACCTTCCAGAGGAAATGAGCAAGAATGACCTCAGGGCCTAGTCTGTGGGGCTTCTGTCCTCAGCTTCACTCTTAGAACTGAGACCTAGACTGTCCCCTCCCTCTAGAACATTAGCCCGTCTCTGACCAAAGGAGGGTGGTCACAGCCGTGGAGGCGAGCCGGAACCACCAGGAAAAGCCTCAAGCACTGGGGGCAGCCTTCCTTTTCTGGCAGCCCAGCTTGCTCAGGAGACCTAGCACAGACTTGGGAATGGGGAAGTGAAGGGCAGAGCACGTGACGACAAGAGCCGGTGATGAGGAATCACAGTAATGCCGGCTGCAGCTAACGATCATGCTCTCATTACAGCGTCTCCTGAGCATTGCTGGGCCGCAGCCTGGGCTGCTGACGGATTCAGACATTGCCAGGCAGGTTCCTGAGGAGCCTTGGAGCCCTGCGCTGTTCCTCACAGTGCATGCTTTCTGTCTCAGGGTCTGAGGTATCCTTCCGTCGAGTCGAGGAGTGGGTTGGGTGCCTTGCCTCACGAGCCTTTGTCTCCTCCTAGCCGGCTCTCCTGTACCTGGTCCCTGCCTGCGTCGGCTTTCCTGTCCTGGTGGCACTGGTCAAGGGCGAAGTGGCGGAGATGTTCAGGTAAGGTGGGGTGGAGCCGACATGCAGACGGGCCCTAGCACACCTGCCTAGCCTGCCAGACCATATTAGCATCGTCTCCAAGGGAGTGTCCCCACTACCTGTTCTGCAGTGACTAGCTGCCTGTGGTCACCAGTGGGACCTTCCCTAGGAGCGGGGGAGGTCTGGGCTAGGGCAGCCCATACCATTGTGTCTTAAAGGAATGACCGTCCACTATCCGTGGCCTTGGATCACAAGCTAGCTCTGCCTAGGTGACTTGTCCTGTCTTTTCCCCAAGCATCAGTTTGCATGTAATAGGACAAGGATATACCCTCACAAGAAGCCGTGTGTCCATCCCTATCCAGATGCCTCTATAGCCATAACCTACAGCTTGTTTTCTGATCCACAGTCTCCTTCCACCACCACCACCACCACCACCACCACCACCCCACCCCCCCCCCCCCCCCGTGGCTGCTCTCAAATCTGCCACACCTTGTACATAGCCCCACCCCTACCTCAGGGCCTGCATGACCCCAAGCAGGTGTCTACTACCAGGCACCATCAACCCTGCCTGTCAGAGACCTAGAAATAGCTGCCAGCTACTATTAAAGCTGCCCACTCAGGGGCCTTCACCCAACTCCACCTGCTTGGCCTTAAGTTGTCCCCCAAGTTCCTGCCAGGGCCTCCTGTGCACCTGGATACCTCAGGGCAACAGGTGACTCACCCCTTCCCCATGCTTGCCCTGCCTGGAATCCCCAGCTCCTGGCCTGCTGGTTGGAAGCCTGCCCGCTTCTGACGTGGCGGCTGACCCTTGAGGTCAGCACTTAGCATCCCTCCTCTGCACATCGATGCTTGGAGAGACTTCTGATGCTCTGAGCACCCAGCTAGAACAGAAGGTGCCTCCTTTCCCACACTGGGGCCCTGTTTCCCTAAATGCTCTTCTGCATAAGCCCCACCCTACCCAGAAGGTCCTTGGAAAAAACAGCAAGAGAGCAAGTAATCTTTCTCTCCTCCGTCCTCTACTCTGGTCTCAACCTGGTCTTCTGCTTTTTTCTCTTTCACTGCCATTCCTTTTGAAAAATTCATTCACTGAGTCATTCTTGAATGGATTGCACATTTACATGGTTTTAAATTCCATTGCTGGGACTAGAGAGATGACTCAGCAATTAATACCTGCTACTCCCAGAGGACTCTAGTTCAGTTCCCAACACCCACATTGGGCAGCTGACAACCATCCCTCCAGGGGGACCTGAAGCCTCCATGGTCACCTACACTCAGTCCATGTATTCACATGCATGTGCGCACACACACACACACAACTCCCATAAATTGTCCTCTGACCTCACAAGCACCATGTTATATACGAATAATGCATTTGTCTCAGTCACTGTTCTGTTGCTGTGAAGAGACACCATGACAACTCTTATGGAAGCTTAACTGAGGGCTTGTTTGCAGTGTCTTCGTGGCGTGTATGATGTTAGAGCAGGAGCTAAGAACTACATCCCAGTCTGTAGGCTCAGAGTGCCACTGGGTCAGCATGGACTTTTGAAAGCTCAGAGCCCACCCCCAGTGACACACTTCCTCCACCAAGGCCACACCTCCTAATCCTTTTCAAATAGTGCTACTCCCTGATAACAGCATTCAAATATATGAGCCTGTGGGGGCCATTCCTACTCAAACCATCACAGTATTGTTTAAAACAGACTAGGGAGAGAGCTTGGTTGGTAAAGTGCCTGCTGTGTAAGAATTAAGACCAAGCCGGGCGTTGGTGGCGCACGCCTTTAATCCCAGCACTCGGGAGGCAGAGGCAGGTGGATCTCTGTGAGTTCGAGGCCAGCCTGGTCTACAAAGTGAGTTCCAGGACAGCCTCCAAAGCCACAGA